CTCAGTGTCAGCTCACTCCAGTTTCTCTCCCCACTTTGCCCTCCCCCTCCATGGTCCAGTCCTGAAAGCAAAGGAATGTTCTGGAGTTTGGGAAGGATGGGGGCCCCTCAGAGGAGGGAGGAAGGGGAGGAGGCAACTCGGTCCTGTCAGTGTCTGAGCCCTAAATAGAACAGAGCAGCCAGGCTAGGGGAATGAAAATAAACAGCCCCTCTCAGAGGCCCTTCCTGATGGTCTCTCAGCTCAGCCATTTCCCTTCTCTTTTTTCCCTTCTCCTCCCTATGCGGCCTCACCCTAAGGGGTGATGGGAGACTTACTGCTTCTGGGCAAGCTGTGTGACAATGGGGAGCTCCCCTACCCTCTCTGGGCTTTGGTGAGGAAGCAGACAGAGGCTAAATTGGGTGGAAAGACCTGGATCAGCTTAAAAGCAGAAGAGGGTCTTATCCCAATGACACAAGTGTGGGATACACTTAGAAACACTTTTAAAAATAGTTTGCCTGCACTTTGGGGGGAGATTCTCAGACTCGACCTCAAGGACTAGGTTGTCACACCCTTCACCAATTCCACAAGAGCTCAGAGAGAGTCCATACACATGTCTTGATTAATCCAGGCAAATGACCTATTCTAGTGACTCCCCTAAACATGTCCTGATACCATTTGGGCCTGAAGTATATGCATGTCTTTGGGACCCAGCCTAAGGGGTCCCAATCGCTTCAATGCAGTAAATAATGCAATCCAAATCCTGGGGGTTCTGCTCTCTTCACAGGGCTCCCCTGAAACAGGTCCATGCATTGCACCCTAATACCTGGAACCAGGAGTCTGAAAAATAGGGGTTCTCAAGGCCACAGAGAGCAGCAGTCAAAATCTCTAGCACCTGGGCTGGCCACCTACAGCCCCTCATGATTATGGATGGGAGGAGTCAGGGGAGGCCCTGGGATTCCTCCTGGCTCCTCACTTGGGATGGGCAAAGGGTCCAGGGGCTTATGAGGTGAGAATAAGACCTTCACCCTGGAGGTCTTGGGAGTGTGTTAGACTCAAACCTCCTTCATCTCATCATCTCTGGCCTCTTCCCTCCTTTCTTTCCTTCTTTCTCTCCACTCTCCCCCTCCCCCTCCCCTGCTCACAAAAGCTCTCTGTACACAGCCACTTCCTCTGGCCGCTGTCTCAGAGCCCAGACCTTATGAGAACCATATGGGGGAAAGAGGGTAGAAGAGAAGGGGGTGGGGAGGCAGGCTGGGCCCGCCCCTCTAGCCAGCATCTTTCCACTGCCCTCAGGCTGTGTGCTTGGTGGTTGGCACACTTTGCCCCACACTCTCCTAACTAGGTCCTGGTGCTTGCACTGCCTGAATCCTGGGCCAGAGCTGAGAGTCCCAAGGGCGGTGTTTGCACAAGAGCCACCTCCCTGAAGCAGGAGCATTGACAGGGTCTATCCTTAAGGGGCTCCCCCTTCCTCCCCCTCCCCCTTGGACCAGCAGACTCCGGGCATGATCACCCAGCTAGTGCTGGGCACATCTGTGCAGACAATCCCTTCTGCCCTGCACAGATAGGCTGAGCAGGTTGCTATTCTGAGGGAATGAGCAGTGACATAACCCATGCCTGTTCCCTCCTCACTCAGCCTGAAATGTTTCCAGGTTAAAGGGGCTTTGGTCCTGCTGGAGGAAAAAAAAAATGGATTTTTAAATGTAGAGTCTGTGTCTACTGGATCCCAAATACCAAGACCCTCATCTGGTAGAAACATTGAGACTCTACTAGTTAATCCCACAATGATCCACCTAGCGATCCCTCTAATCTCTCCAGCATCAGCTACAAAGCCTTAAGATGTAAGCCCTGGCTTGCTGATCTCTAAGACCCTTTTCAGTGCAGATGAAGTAGGAATTTATGGCACTGGCTTGTGTCCTCTGAGGTCCTTCTGGGGAAGATTTCCTTTTGCAGTTATCTTTTATCAGTCCTTCCTGGAATCCCTTATTCTCAAGCCTCCTTCCCCTCTAACTCTCAGAGCTAAGGACCAGAAAGCAGGCCTTTAGCCACTGCCCAGGTTGAAAAGGTTCCCACTCACAGCAAAATCCTCCCCACTACAAGCACCTACCCTAGGACCCTAGGACCTCTCCCCTCAGAGAGAGGGTTCAGAAAGGCCCCCCAACCCCCCCCCCCCCGCCTGCTCTGGGCATTTGTGCCCACAGCTGCCCAGCAGACTGGGCTGTGAGGCTGGGGGTGGGGTGAGAAATGGATCAGGAAGGAAGCCAAGAGCTCTGCTTTCCTGGAAAACTGCAAATGAAAGTCCACCATGGGGGAAACAAAGCAAAGGGAGGGGGAGAGGGGACCTGCAGTCTACAAAAACAGAAGGCAGGAGTTGCGATAACAGGGTGGAGGAAGGGTTTTTCAATGAGGTAACAGGACTGTTCAAGGGAGCCCCCCCACCCCCAGCAGACAGGGACCTTATCTGGCACTTGGAGTCCTAACCTTAAGTGTCTACCAGGCTTCTATCTCGAAGGTTCCTGTGACTGGAAGCTGGGGACCCATTCTGGAGGGGAGAAGGTCCTCAGTGGGAATGTAGCAAAATGTCTGGGAGGGAGGACACAGCCACAATGCGAAAACAGCTGGCTCAAGTCCTGCTGCTCAACCCAGTGCAAGCTAAAAAATAAATAAATAAAACACGGAAAATCTGTGCGGGGGAAGGGGGGAAGAACAGAGAAGTTAGGGTGAAATGAACACTGTATTGTTTGAGACGGGGTCTCCCTATGTAGCCCAGGATGGCTTGGAACTTACCATCCTCTGGGATCACAATCATCGCCCCCCACCTAGCATGACTCCCCACTTACAAGGGGGTTTCCACACTCTTGGAAAGGGGGAAGCAGCACCCATTGCCAGCCCTTATATCTCATCTCAAAATGCATTTTGGGGTGTGACAGTATGCTTGGACTGACTCTCAAGGAATGCTTGCCTACCTTCTACAGAGAAGGCTCTGGGTCTTTTCCCTTCAGAGGCTGCTGGCCTGGAGTGAGGGATCATCAAGATCATAAATGTGGAAAGCTAAGAAAAACATCTGGAGGGAGATTCAGATTCCATCCCACTCCAGACTGATGGATGAGTGGGCTTCCCTGATCTGTCCTTAGCATTGTTCGGTCGGGTGGGGACCAGTCTCTTTGGAAGGTATTGTAAGCCAGCTAGGTTGAATGACCTGAGAAGAGAGGGGAGCCTTTTCTTAAGGGAGGGCTTGAGGCTGGGGCAGGAGAGTAAGTTGAGTCTGCTGCTACTTTGTCATAATATATTCTCACCAAGAACTGGTCTCACTCCTTTGAGTGGCGTCGATGGGAATTAGCCATGGCTGGAAAGCATTAGTTGCCAAATCATTCTAAGATGTACTGCAAAACCACTTTTCTTAACCCCCCACCACCACCTTCCTTCTGCCTTGACCATGTTAGGATTCCCTAATCCCCACCAGCAGACATACAAGAGACAGCTCCCACACACGTGAGTGTGCAGAGACTCGGGAGCATGTGCGATTACACAAATCATCTCCACCCCCAGCTGAACCATCGCTGTGCAGCTGTGTGACACAAACGTCGAACCAGCTATTCCTTACAGCAAAACCTTTTTCTCCTCCAGAACTAAGTAGGCTGGGAATACCCAAGCCTTCTAGTACTCTTAAGCGTTATTGGACACTCAGACCCACTAGGGAAAACCTTAGCAGCCACTGCCACCCCCTCGCCCCCCACTCCCTCCCTGCCAGCTTGCATGGAGCAGAGAGAGGAGAAACGCCGCCTCCGCTACAAGGCACACAGGCGTGTGCATGCACACACCCCAGCTGGAGAAAATGCAGGCCAGCTGGCTAACATCACAGGCTGACCAGTTGTGTCCTGTCAGGAAGCCGGCAGCCTCTGAACCCACCAGAGGACTTACTGTATTGTTCTGGGGACAATCGAATAGATGAAGCCAGCCTCAGCTCTGGGCGAGGGGTGGTTGGAGAAACAGTTGCCTCCGGGATCGGGATCACAGGGAAGGGGAGGCGGGTTTTAGGCGGGAGCCTGAACAGGAAAGCAAGGAGCCACCGCTAGGGCGCGACCCTCAGCTCCACGTCGTGCGTGGAGCTTGGAGCACATGGCCGGCACAGGAAACCGCTGGGGTGCGGGAGGCTGTCCTCGTGCGGTTGCCGGAACTTGAGACTCGAGTTAAGGAGCACAGGCGCTCGTGGCCAGTAAAGCAAGGGCTGAATCGGCCCCAGATGAAAGGAGAGCCATGGAAGGAGGCCGGGAGGCACGTGTCTCCCTTCAGCTAGGTTTTTGTACCAAATCTTTGAGCAATTGAGTCAACCGATATTAAAAGAGTCAAGCCCTGTATTATTTCCAGGGGCAATAAAGGAATAGGCCGGGACCCGTTACTCAACCCAAGTTCACTTCCCAAATGTGCACAGGGGAGAGAGCCCAAGAGGGAATTGGGACGCCGGGTGTGGGGGTGTTGTTCATTCTGACCAGAAGCGCCCGAATTCCAAAGACAGGCTTAGTTAGGGGAGCTCACTCTCCTCCTGCCCAAGGAAGCCCCGCCGGGAGCAGAGCTCTGCAGGCCCGGGGCGGGGCACCACAGACTCAGTTATCCTAGTTAGAGTCCAGGCTCACCAGCTGAGTTCAGGAGGATCCTCCTTAATGCGAGTTCCAAAGCCTCAGTAAGAACGACAGCCATCTACAGGACCCCTGGCCCCAGTCAGCCTAGGACACTTAAGGACACTTAAGACTGCAATGCTAGCCCACAAGGAACACGGATGTCCCTTCAGCGTCCACTTACACCTCCCTCACCTGTGCAGGTGAGCGGACTTCCGCGGTGTCTCTCTAGGGCACACCCTGGCTCCCGAAGCTCCTATCCTTCTCCCCTTCTCCCCTTCTCCTACTTCCAAGTTTCCCGGCTGATGCCTGGACTCAGACTTTCTCCAGTCTCTCAAGTGGCAAGCTCGCCCTCCTACTTTTAGGTCCCACTCGCTGTCCTGGCCCGCCACAGGGTAGGGTACTCACAAGGTGATGGTGCCGTTTGGCAGAAGGCCGGGATCCGGAGGTTCGGGGAGGTCCCCGCCGCCGCACACCACCCTCCTTCAAGCCAAGTTGTGGGTGCCGCCACTTAG